AATTCATCATTGATTTTGTTTTATAATGAAGGTGGCAGTCCATCAGTTATTATTGCTACCAACGTATCAGCAATATGTTTTGATTGACTGGTTAACTATTTCAACTTAACTTTCTAAAATGTTCCGAAAATACTGACACATTTGTATATATCTTAAATTAAAGCTTATGTAATATACTTTATTATGAAAAAAAAAAATTTCTGGCTTTATTTTGTTTTCAAAGTGAAAATGGCTACCGTATGCTATTTTTGTGTTAAAATTTTCGATTTTATAATGTATATTTTAAACTTTAAAATGCTATAAAATTTTGAAAAATGTATGGATTGATACAATTTTTTTATGAGAAATAATATTTATATACTTTTTTAATTTGACGTCCTTTTTTCTTAAATTATCCATTTTCCTATATACAGGAGGGGTTCAAAACTTAAAATATATATAGAAAGTAGAAGTTTTTCACCTTAATTTTTGAAAGTGTTCCAGAAATACTTATATATATCTAAAATTAAAATTTATATAATATACTTCATTAGAAAAAAAAATTCCAGATTTTAATTTGTTTTCATGATGGAAACAGTCATCAAAGTTAATAAAAAAAAACTACGAATTTTGTAAAAAGTTCATTTTTATATGTTTAATTTTATAATGCTATAACTTTTTGAAAAATGTATAGATCATTATATTTTTATAGCTTTGATGCGAAGCTTTTCAAAAAAAAAAAATTGTCTCGACACCTTTTCTTCTTTGGGGAAAAGACCGTTGAATTTAACGAAAAATGTAATTTTTATGCAGAAATCACTTTTAACATGAAATATTTTAATAATTAAATAATATAATTTAATTGACATTGAATAAAGTTCATAAGACATAAGAAACTTAACTGATTAAATTGTTTTTGCTTTTTTATAGTTGAATAAGTAACTTTTAAATTTAAATTAGCATAAATTGCTAATTTTATCATATGACAAAAGCGACAAACAGATGCCGATTGGCGGTGACACTGGTGTTTTACACACTTGAGGTACGAGGTTCGCATTCGCTGGGGAAATTTACATTTTGTATTTTTTTTTTTAATTTTAAAGCCATTTGAATTTTACCTTATTTAGATTCAATAACTACAATAAATATCAAGGATGCCGTCACTTTAGTCTTATCTCGCGAGAAGAAATTACTTATTCATGTTAATATTATTATACTATATATATACTATATGTTCGGCCGCCGCCGCCTCTAGAAGATTCCTCTGACTATTTAAGGGCAAGATCGTCGCTCCAGTCAATCAATCGATCAGTCAATCACTTACGCACTCTGTCTTAAACGCGCTTCGTCTCTCGCTGTTATTTATTTGTTAGTTCGTTGTAATATAATATAGTTGTTATTAAATCATAAAAGTGTTTATTACTTCTATATATATTACACCTCGCTACACTATCATTTATTTCTCAGCTCTAACTTAACTTACATTTTTCAACGATACGTCAAATGATTACAATTCGTATTTAGTTGAAGATATTACCCTCCAAAATTGAAAAAAAAATCCCCTAATTAAATAATCAAGTAGCTTAACCAGCTTTATCCATACAAACAACTAAAATCATTTATTTCCAATATTTTTAAAGTATTGTAAGGTTTCAGCCAAAAAAGAAATTTATTACTTTAAACTCCTTTAAAACCAAATCCAAACTCTTAAAAATTATATTTAAGTATAATTTTAATTGAATGCGCATACTAATAGTTTGGCTGTAGGGACGTTTGTGATGATGAGGCACTAGTTATTTTGTTAAGTGTTAATGTTGGTGAAGAACGAAAGATTCTGTGTGTAACAGGATATTGAATGGAATAATTGTAACAATATTTAACATATATTAATGAAGTTAACTATGTCCTCGGCAACTAAAACTTTAGAAACGCTGGGGCACCAGATTCTTGTTGCCTATATTTTTAATATAAATCGACATATCCTAATAAATTAATTTTGAGTTTAGCGTTAAGAATATTGATATAGGGTATTAATAGAAAATATTATTAATAAAAACCTTGTATAATATGAAAATAGTTTGAAAAGCAAAAAAAAAAAATATTAATCGTAATATACGCATGACCCATTAGAGAGAATCTTTTTAAGTTCTCATGTTATGAATGACGTATATTGTCGAGACAATAAAAACTCTTGTGTGGCTTAAGACATCATCCACATAAGCCTGTTTAATAAGTTAAATCATTTATTTCCATTATTTTTAATGTATTGTAACGTTTCAGCCAAAACAGAGGGCCTACTATTTACCCACTGCCCANTACTACAGATGCGAAGTCGTGTTTTTTATGTATATTTTTTTTTGTTGTAAAAACCACGTTTTTTGTATTTTTATTTGTACTCCGTTTTTTCTTTAAAATAAAACGTTGAGATGATGGTGATGTGAGGCGTAACTATGGCCTGTGGTGGGCCGTCACTTCTCAAGAAACAATCAACGACAAGTATCAATAAAACTACCTCTATGTACCCTTTGATAATGTTGTGCACCTCTTTTTTTCTTTTTGAATATATACAGAGTGTTCAGTAAGTCAGGAAACGGGTTTCTATTGTTCTCATTGTTACAAACAATGAGAACAATAGAAACCCGTTTCCTGACTTACTGAACACCCTGTATATATTCATAAAGAAAAAAAAAAGAAAAAAAGAGGTGCACAACATTATCAAAGGGTACATAGAGGTAGTTTTATTGATACTTGTCGTTGATTGTTTCTTGAGAAGTGACGGCCCACCACAGGCCATAGTTACGCCTCACATCACCATCATCTCAACGTTTTATTTTAAAGAAAAAACGGAGTACAAATAAAAATACAAAAAACGTGGTTTTTACAACAAAAAAAAATATACATAAAAAACACGACTTCGCATCTGTAGTATAGCTGGGGAAAAAAAATACCGTCGTCATGGCATTTGTAATGACCGTTGATTGTGACGCCGGGTGGGGGTGGTGCCAACTTTTTAAACGTTCATTGAGGGGAAATACAACAATATTGGTACAGATGCTCAGTAGGGTGACCCTTAGCTACATGAGAGGTTTTTTTTTTTTAATATTACAAAGTGAAAGTTTATAACAATAGAAAAAAATGAATTTGTTACCATAACTATTAGCTCAACTTGCAAGTTTGAAATTGACATCATTAAATAAAAAAATTGGTATTGTTAATATTAATATGAAGTCAGGAAATTTTATAATTACTACTGTTACGTATCGATGAATATTATATAAATTAGTGGTGGGGATTGTCCACTACTCGCGAGTGTGATCACCGGCACAGATTATATTAACAATTATATTGTGTCTCAATAAAGACTTCATAAAGATAATCACTCTCATTCAAAAGTATAATTCATTTTCATGGAAAAAGTTACACACCTCCAAATTATTTTATAATTACATTTTATTTAATATTTAAAAATAATTAATATTTTTAATAAAATGTAAAAAAATTAATTATTGAGATATAGCTATAGAAATAACGTATAACTATTATTTAAAAAAAAAATCAGCTAAAAATATAAACTGGATCAAAAGTTATTTAAGTTGTCAGTGAGTACTGGGTCACTCTGTATTGTCGAGGAAATAAAAACTCTTGTGTAGTGTCGGCGAACAGAAAGGCAGGTAGTTCGGACCGGTTGACCAACTGCCTATCGTCACAAAAGGGATCGGAACTACCTCCCAGGCTGAAAGGTAATGAGAGTTGTTGGTAGTGTCAACGACAGTCAGTGTTCAAGAACCAAGTCAAGGAAGAAAGACGCCGCAGTTATCCCTTTTTATATTACATATTTATTTAGTTATTTTTGTTGAAAATTTATTTTCTTAAATAAAGCAAGTCAGTTTATGTTTGATTTTTCACTATAAGTAAGATTGTTTTTATTTTATTGCATAGAATAAATTTGTTTACTATAGACAAATTTATACATAACATAATATAATTGAGAGTAACATTTAGAGAAATTCTAAATAAGTTAACTTTATGAGTTCACCTGCGCATAGCTACATTAGGCATAATTCACATAATCTGAAAAAAATAATTAGAGTATGGTGCCTTAACTATATTTTAATTATTTCTGTTTTATAGTCATCGTTGTCGGCGCACTGCGGTGGTCGATTGACGTCTAGGGTACTCGTGCAAGGCGGTACTCTACTGTTATGTACCGCTCTGCGGATACCACGACATGTTAAAGGCCATTTGCACAAAATTCATAGATTAAGCTACACGACGTAAAACATACGTAAAACTTCTGAGCGTAGTGTTGCGCTTCATGGTGGAGCGACGAAACCAAAAAAAATCACACGACATAATAATCAAATTATTGTCCCAAAGCTTGCCTGTAGTCGACTGAACTAAAGTGTGCCTGAGTGGTGGGGACCCCATTAACGTGTCTGACCAGTGAGACCCCCATCTACCTCTCCATTGAGGCTACAGCGAACCAGACCCAATACTTATTGAACTGACCCTGTATAAGGTGACCCATCAAGTTCCGACATCTTTAATGACTTTTGCACTAGTAAATATTTAGCATTACTTTTTAGTATCGGTGGGAAGCTGAGAAGGCGTTTATTTAATTATGACGTGTTTTTTTTTATGTCTGTCGTCACATTTTCTTAGGGCCAAACCAATTTCTTTTAACGTTTGTCAAACGACATTTCCCTTAAAAATTGAAAAAAATTTTCTCGTTTTCTTTAAACTTTTATATATAAAATTTAGACATTTTTTTTTACTATTAGTTAACTATTGAGAAATACATAAGTGTAATTTTTAAAATAATTAAAACGACGTTTTAAGTACAGTTAAAAATTAATATTTTTTAACACTTTGAAATAAATGTAAAATTAACAAAAAACTGGAAGTGCAAATTATTTTTTGGAGTTATTTAGAACTGATTGTTAATGCTGTATGTTTAACAACAGGACAAGTTATTTGATATTTATCTCTATTGAATAAGATTTATTTATAATTTTTGCATAGAATTTCTAAACATTTTTATTTTAGAATCTTTGATAAAAACATGGATTTTTGAAAACTTTAATAAAATATTACGTTATACAACATATCTATTCTTCGTGAAATGATTTAAAATTTTCTGGTGGATGACCTTGTGAAATTTCGTATACCTTTTGAATAAGGTCATTGAAATCTTTAATTTTATCAATTTCTTTGTTATCAAATATGGCCTTGTACTCTAATAAAATTAACATTACTTGACTTAAGTCGCAAGTTATAGGGGCTAAAAAATACAAAAATTAAATAATTTACAATAATTGATTTAGTAATTAATTTTTTGATCAATATAATTACTCAAATGAGTGAATTCATATATAACATCCCCATAGTCTTCCTGTGTTAATTCCTACAAAATTCAAAATAATTATTACAATATACTTATTATAGGAGTTCTAAATTTAATGGGTACAGGGAGTATATATTTTCAATTGTATACATTATAATCAAAGTTTGACAAAATATCAATATTTTTTCTCATTTATATAGCAACTCATACCAGGCATCATCCTGTCATCACTGCCGCCTACCGATCTGCTCGCCGAGGAACGAGCCGCCGCCGGGCATGAACTTCGCCGAGAGCGCAACCGGTCCCTGGAACCCGAGGACCGGCTAGCGCTCAGGCGGATGACCATGCTCCGGGGGCGGACTCGCCTCTCGGAGGAAACGACGAGAGGCCAGTGGACCAGGGGGTCTATTTTTCAATCGTCCGTTCACGAACGTATACGTTCAGATTTTATTTTATATAGGTTTATATGGCGAACGTTGTCCGTGAACACGTTCGGAACGTATGAAACATCGAACGGACGACCGTTCAAAACATTAAAAAACGTTCGTCACAACGGATAATAGAAACCATCCGTTAGCGAACGGTGGGTCGAACGGTCGATCGAACGGACGGTCATAAATAACAAAAGAAAGGTTTGACCCTTACACTTGCTTTTTAGACAAACATATTTACCTAAAATATAATTTTGAATTAAAATCGTTTTAATTAAATAAATTCATTAAACAAATCAATTATTCGTAGAAGTAGCTATAATCGGAAATAGGGAGCTAAGGCTCCTTCATGTTTGAGTGAGATTTCCTTATTAACTTATGAACATAAAAAAAATATTTAATATATATTTTTATTAATAAAAATATATTTATTATAATAAATATTATTTCAATTAATTATGTTGTTATACAAAACATAAATTAGTTGAAAAAAATGATTGAAATTTACAAACAAAAATTTTTAGTTAAATATTAAAAATTGTTTTAAATAGAACTATTATCTAATAGTTTCCAAATTATTTCAATGCAACTTACAGCGCATCAATGATACATAATATTTGTTTACGATCTCATTAAATGCAGCGAGACCTTTTTTGAGATAATTGAGTAATATAAACAAAAATCACATTATTTAATAAAATTCACTTGAAAAATGCAACCATAAAATACATTGTATACAGAGTGATTTTTTTATCATTACCCACTCAATTACTTACAGAATAATAATAAACTAAACATTTTAATTTCCGATTATCTTTAGTTACACATTATTGTTGAATTATTAATTATATAACACTTTAAGTTCATCCCTTATACTATTTATGTTTGTACAANTAAATGGTAACACATATTTTTAATTTAATAAAATGTTTGAGTTTTTAATTTAATAGTAAATGGCATTTGAATTTTTAATATAACTTTATTAGCTTATTAGATATAAACATTTAAAGTTTCAAAATTTTGAGTTAATATACATGTATAATACACATGGGATTGTAAATACAGGTAGCTAATTGGATTTTTATGACATTGCTGTCATAGTCACGGATTCTTTATTATCAATTATGACTATCATTAGATATACCTTGTGTGTTGTCAGTTAGTGTATTTATAAACTCACAACAATGTGCCTTACTACTATTAATAATAACAATGCTGTGTACCTGCTAATATCGATGTCATAAAAAACCAATTAGCTACCAGTATTTGTAAGCCCTTGTGTATTATACATGTATATTATATCAAAATTGTTTACCCCTATTGCTTGAACACGTGCAGAAAAAAGTAATATTTATGTTTTAAATATTACGTTGTCTAAAAAAAATGTATAAAATATTAAAATATTATATTCAGTATTATAAATTAATTTCCATTTTTCAGTTAATATGTTAAATAAATTGAAACATAATATTATATTATGATTACTCAGTAATATTAATTAAAACTCGTAATACGTGTAACAACTATTTTGTTGGTTGCATCCTTGCACCTTGTAATAAACCATCTTTTAAAAATTTACCTTAAGTTTTTTGTGAAAATTATTCATGAAATATATGTTTGTTATGTTAACAACTTTTCAAAACAGTGGCGTATTTAGGAGTAGACCGTGACCTAGGGTGTCATTTTTTCCAATTAAGAACTAAAATCTTATTAAATTTATTATTTATTTATATGTAACATAATTTATAAATTATATCAATTAATCTTAAAATGAATAAATAAAATAAAATATATGTAACACTTTATTTTCGAAAATTTAAGTATTGTTGTTTTAAAGTGTATTAATCATTTTTAATTTAACTTGTATGCAATTGTAAATACATTTTTGTTAGAATTTGTGTAATTAAATTATTTATATAGTTTTAGCGAATTACTTAGAATAAATTCACATCAAATAAATTAAATTAGCAAATTATAAATGTATGTATTAGTAATAAATTATTGTTATTAAAAAGTATTATATTAATTAAAAATAAATATTAAAATATTAAAAATCAAGCTGTATGAATTTAATTTTCAAAATATTTATTTATGTTATTACAATAGATTGCAAACAATCGTAAAACATATATGTTCATCGAACAATACCTAAAAGGCCGTATACCTATTGGAACAATAGAATCCGTTTGACGAACGTGACCGTTCGAGGAACGTGTCCGTTCGTTGACCGTATTTTGAGGAACGTGTCCGTTCAACGAACGTATACGTTCGACGAACAGACGATTCAAAAATAGACCCCCAGGTCCTTCATAGGACCCGATCGGATAGACGGGTGGGTGGACCGGACTTACGGTGAGATGACTTATCGTCTCACTCAAGTGATGTCCGGCCACGGCTGCTTTAACGAGTACTTACACCGTATTCGTAAAGCAGCCGCGCCGACGTGTGACCACTGTTCGGATCGCCTGGGAGAGGCTGGTAGCGCTTTGCACACCCTCTTCCGGTGTGAGGCGTGGGCCCAGGAACGGGATTCTTTGGAGTCTCGACTAGGGTCTACGTTCCGAGCCGGGTCATGGTGGACCTGATGTTGAGGAGCCGGGAGGCGTGGAGGCTCGTCCAGGCGTTCGTCGAATCCGTCTTATTAAAGAAGGAGGAAGCGGAACGCCTGAGACAGAGGCATCCACGCTACCCGGCATAGGAGGACCTGAGGCGCTGGTTTAGGCCAGTGCCTTAGGTTCTCATTTTTGTGTAATTTTATATGTCGTGTGAGTTATTTTGGCAGTCCTCCCTAACGGTTCCCACTCTGGGATCCGGTTAACGGGAGGGGACCACACTACGTTGCGAATCAGCTATTGATTAACTTCGTGCTGATTCGCAACGTGGTGGATTGAATTATTGAGACGGCGTGAGCCGCCTTGATGTAATGCCTTACAGCAGTTCCAGGGCAGCCCACAATAATGCCGGCCGTTAAAAAAAAAAAAAAAGGGTTTATAAATATCAAAAAATAAAATAAATGAAAAATTATTGTGAAAAATATTGAAATTTTTTGGTTATAATTCGTGTGAATATATTTCTGTAATTTAATTAATTATTTTATCAAAATCTCTCGAAGTACTATTAATTTTGTGTAGATAGAAAAAATCTTGGAAGATATATCACGTATATAAATAATTAGGAACAAATGCATTTTACCACCCCATCGAGTTTTTTCAAATTTTGTTTTTTTAAACGTGTGTTTTTCAATGCTTTTTTCAAAAGTGTTTGAAAAAATTGTCGGAAAAAATTGGTTCAAAAGTTATAGCTTTTTAAAGTTGGAACGTCAAAAACTAAAAATAGCTCAAAAATTGTTTTTTTTTGTTAATTTTTGGGATTTTTTCTCATGATACTATTGTGAAACTATAATGACGTAATTATTACATAATATCCTCATTCTAAAAATCCTAAAACCAAAATTAACTTTAAAAATAAGGATTTTCCAATTTTTTTTTTCAAAATACGCATATTAAAATTACGCAATACGAAACAAAAATGGGTTTTCATAAAATTTTATATAAGTGAATAGGTAATAACAAGAAACTCAATTAATTCAAGTTGAAAAAAAAAAAAAAAAACACGACGTGGTGTGTTTTATTTAGAATTGTTAATTGAATAAAATAAAAGTTTATACTGTATATTATGTATATCAATTAACACTTGTTGAAAATAAAAAAAAATACTATTATATTAGATATTGAAATTGCAGTATTTAACTTGATACCGTTTAAAATAATTGCACCTTTGTGGGTTCGTGCATGGTTTTGCACAGTAGTAATACGGTCTGTCCTTATTAGTTCCTGAACTAGTAATGCATAATGATGCTTGGGTATGACAATTACAGTTGTGATAATCTTCAGCCATGTATTTAAAGTATAGACAACGCGTTGGATCAGTATAATCTTTACGACACACGACAAATCGCGTGTTACTCGATTCTAAATAACTACTAGGTTTATCCCGAATATTTACATTTAAACTACAATGACATTTGTACAAATTTCCATCATACATCCATAGGTTCATAGTGAGATAAAATAACTCTAATAGAAAAACAATTTAACTGTAATCTATTGGTGAACTACTAAGATTATACTATAGATTACATCGTTTACTTTTTCAATGTTACAGAAACAGTGCATCATGATCTTTGTTACCAACTGTCAAATATAAAAACGTATTATCATAATTTAAATAATGCAAACAATTTTATAAATAGTTAGAATTGAAACTGATACTGTACGTATAAAAAGTATCAGCAATACCATTTCAGCAACAGTTTGAAATGAGCGGCGCGACGTAAATTTTTTTATTAAAGTACCTACACACATATAAATATTTTTTTTAGTATAATTAAATAAATAAAATTCGATTACTAAATCATCGAGAATACTTTTTCTAATGAATTAATGCAAAAAAACAAAAAGAACAGAAGTATATAACAAAATTTGTCAATGATGGTTGAAAACTTTGAACGCTCATAACTTTTAAACTGGACTTCGTCGACAAATTTTTTTTATATATTCTTAGTCAGTATAAAAAACTGAACCAATTAAAAAAAAAAAATTTGAACAAACTCGATGGGGTGGTAAAATGCATTTAAACCAATAATTATCAATATTTTAAAATAAAATTATAATTACGTTTCTAGTTAAAGAACTGAGTTCAAAATGCTTAATGAATTCTGAGATTTCTTTTTTATTTAAAAAACCATCAGTGTCTATGTCAAAATCTTTGAATTTATTTGAGATATCTTCAACATTATTTATATCCATCTTTGCCACCTATAGAATGCAAAATAATTTATTAATGATTTAAGTAAAAAGCATAATAAACTAATTAATATGTAATTTTACATCTTTATTATCACCCCACTTGTCAACTTTAACCATACAATTCAAAATCTTGAAGAGTCCTTGAGCAGTTACACCTTTAAATATTGATACGTTAAATACAGATTGATTAAAATTTTATGCTACATAATTTTTTTCAAAAAATAATTATAAAATTAAAAAAAAAAGTGTATAATAAACAATTTTTGAGGCCTAATTTGAAATAAAATGTAATTTTCCACAATATAATATAAATTCAGTTCGAAGATTTAACATTTATAAAATTTTGAATTTCAAAATTGCTTATGTCGTAATAAACAGTAATATCTGATAAAAAATTACAAAATTAAAATCTTACGTAATACAATAACATAAATCCCAGTAGCAGATCTGAAGTTAATGTTTATGAATAGGTACCAAATATTAAAGAGGTGTAGATAAGCGTATTGATCCTAACTATTTCTTATTATTGTACTCCAGTATGAATTTTAAACGAAATAAAATTTAAAAAACAATAGCACAGTGGGGTTTGTGGCACAGTGTGGATAGATGATATCTGACAGTGATTGAAATCAATATCATAAGAAACGCTTTTTGAACAGACTAAGACTACAAAGTTAATACCTTAAATAATAATCACTTCAGATATGGATAGGGTCGAACACTCAAAGCGTGTAAATGTACGAAATCTCGAGAGAGCCAAACCACAACAGGATGTGCTAAACAATAGAATAAAATATATAGCGTACATATAAACGGAGACACTTGTTATCATCATTATTGTACTATACAATTACACTATAACACAGTATTATGTTTCCCTCAGTCGCGCATCACATTATCAAACTAAATGAAAGTGTATCGAAGCTGAAATACAAGTGCGCGGTGGTCTAGTGGTAAATTTTATCTGTACAACGCCTTGGGTCATGGGTTCTATTCCCATACGGTACCTCTTTTTTTCACATGATTACTGGTACACTTACGATGACCTGCTGTCAATCCCAGGCGGCCATGTTAAATAATAAGATAAAAATTCACATTTACCATTAATATAATTATAAATATATTTATTAATATAATTTACATGTACAACATATTATTCGTTTTTATCTTTTTATGCTCACAATAATCACTTTCAGTGATTCTTAGTACATTTAATAAATTAATAAAATTATTGCATGGACATTTTTTCACGAAACATCCTCAATACTTTAAATTTCAATTTAAACTACATATAAATCAATTTTTAAAATTTAAATGTTCAATTTTTTGTTCCATTCCCATTAAAAGTATTACTTCGGCTGTATAGATCTTATCACCACGTTTTACAAAATTTTAACAATTTAATTTTATTTTAAAACCATTTAATCTGATTTATTACTACATTTTACCATGTAAAATTCGGCTGGAAATTACAACATGTAACATTTTAACGCTATAGCCTATTTAAAGAGCGCGAAAAAGGTTTGTGTCACCCCCTTGTGGTGTTATTTTATATTTTTTTCTTTTTATAAGGTTTTTCCTTTCAAATAACAAAACGATATTTTAAATTAGAAGTTGATTACTTTGCAAATTTACAAAATAAATTTTAAAAAATGAACATTTATATTATATTATTATCTAATATAATGTATTTGTTTTGATTACAAAAAAAGGTTAACTACTCATATATGTTATGACTCCATCCCCTGATGAAATTTACATATGACTCTGTCTTAACGTATTTCAATTAAGTCTGTGCTTGTAAAAAATCAGCTCACGTATAGCTCAAATATTGAGCTTTTACTTATCATTTACAAATTCATTAAACTTCAATTTTTATCATACAATTATGTATAATAATACATCATTGCCGCTGCTTATGACCTAAGTAACTATGAAAATCTTCTACAGATTTTGTAAATACATCAACAATAAAATAAAAACATAAACATTCCGGGCAGTTTTCCGAGTTTGATCTGTGCTCAGCTTCTTCTGTTCGCAACCCATCACAGTTTTTAATAGCTATATATTTTAGTACATTATATCTTATATCTATTTATCGTGTACTCCGGACAGACAAAGAGACAGTCTTAGCCATATCGACTATATTTTTTTAATCAAACTCTATTAATCAAAGCGCTGATATGGAAACTAATAAGTTTGAAACAAATTATAAAACAATATTTTCTGCTGAAAGATGCATAGTCTGATCTAATTGAGTTTGGTTAAAAATATTAATTTACGGTTATTAATATTAAAAATACTTAACTATAAAAAGCTATGAATATATTTTTATATTATTCAAATTGCGTATTTTTTAATTTTTCTTTAGTTGAAATAAATGTTAAAGTAAGTAAAGTGTGTTAATTGACCAATATATAAAATAAGTCATATAAAAAAAAAATTGAAGCTAATATATATAAGAGTTAAAAATTACTGGGAGGCACTGCGTTATTTATATTTTCATCCAAAGTACAATCATTGTAATTCTCTGCGATACCAATACACGAGAAACCATGTTTTATACTTTTGATATCAAAATGATTCCATACCAGTTTTTGAAAGTAATGTATTTGTTTTGCATTAAGTCCCTGGCTCTTTAAATATTTATATGTCATATTGATTAATAAATAAATAAGCCATCGAATAAATACTTACTATTGTGCCGGTAAAAAAACATACTGAACTAAAGATTAGTATAGTTTTTAAATGCATGTTAATGATTTATATGTTAAAGAAACCAAAAATTTAAAAAACAATTATTTAAATGTTTAAATTTTAAGATAATAAGCTTAGGTACGTTGTTTTGTAATTTATACTAAAATAATGCAAATATTAATTATTTATTTTTTACAATTATGTATTTTTAAAAGAAAAAATAGATTTTAATGTATTTTACTTTATTATAGTAAGACGTCATAATTCACAGACTCATACTTTAAATTATTTACATAATGATATCATTTAGAGTTCGAATTTAACACTGAATATGTAAAAAATACATTAAAAATAATTTTATGTGGTTAAAATTTAAAATATTTATTTTTTTTGACGAATGAACAGAAAACTATAGTTAAAAATTAATAGGAGAGATATTAAGAAGATATAAATTATTAAATAAAATAGAACGATTACTTTTAAATGCACAGCAGTCAAAAATTATATGAGGAAAGTCGCAGAGAACTTCTTCGTCATGTTTTGGGCAGAAAGGAAAATTGTTAAGGGACATTTTGTACGCATGAATAGAGAGCGATGATGACCAAGTCTTAGTCGAGAAAAGGATAATATATGGAACCGGGAAAGAGGAAGTTTATGGAATCAAGGATGATTTGGAATAGTTGGTGAAATTGATTTGTGCCAACTATAGTTTTATGTTTCTTTACTATAGTAAAGAAATATCAGATTAAAAAAAAAAATTTCGTGATGACACATAATTTTGCAACTCTACGACTTACATTCTCTTTTTAAAGTAATTAGATCTTTCTAAGAATCTCATAATGTTATTTTGTATATGATTAATGTTATATTGAGTGTCATTCTTTAGCATATGAAGATTGTCCGATTATAGCCGACCGATATGAACATTGCCCGACGCTAACGCATATGCTTCCATTGTTAGGTCCCATATAAGTCAGTCGTGATTTGATCATACAATTTTTTATCTTAATTCTAAATCATTATTGTATGTTTTAGTGTACTACTTCTTATATATTATTATACTTTATTAAGTGAAATGAAGTATAAAAATAAATACTAAATCATTGACATATTATTCATTAATTAATTTTATTTATGACACCTTTCCGCAGCAGGCTCGCATAACATTTTATATAAATGTTACTAGCTAAAATTCTTTAAACAGTGAATAATCAACAATTATACAAATATATTTTGTATGTATGAAAAAAATAAAATACCATATGTTTCTAATAAGTATTTGAATTTGTATTATTGATTTGAATAAAAATATATTTTTATAGAGCGATACATTTCTTAAAAAGTTACAGCAAAATCAAACTGTATTAGCAAATTTGATTAAATTTATCATTAAAAAAAGAAAAACAATACTCAAAAACAAAATATTTATACACTATCATTAGGTTACTACTATCATCATCGTAATACTTAATAATTTTTTTAGTAATTCAAAAAGAAATAATTAAATAATTAAATATGATTTTGTGTGGGTGTTGAGCAACTACTTTTATTGTATTATAAACATTATTACTCGGACTATGAGTACGAGGGTCTGTAAGAAAGATAGAAGATAATAGTAAAATAAAGTGATCTTTATTAACACGCTTATATTAGTTTCACGTGTATGTTGTTTGTAAGTCTCCACGTAACACTAGTTATTATTGTCGTGTATATCGCCGTAGTCTATAGCCTTGAAACTAGACTGTCGTTTGCATTCACCCCATCCCACTTATCATAAAAAAATAGAGAGTGAAAAATAAATATAGTTTTTTTGCAGTCTTTTTAGACTGAAAAACACGATTTTTTTAACTATATTATTAATATGAGATTTATTGTGATTAATTGTCAATTTTTTCATATCAATAATGCCACGAGTTTTGACGGTTATCGATAATAGGTGAGTTTGAGTCACTTCGTGTGTCACCCAGAGTGGTATGGACCTATAGTAATATATATGAACCTCCAGCCTAGATATAACTCTGCTAAATAGCTCCGTCCCCTAAGTTTCCCAAAGTTAAATAACATTTGTTGCCCATTTTAATCGTTTTTAATATCTCATTCTCCATATGGTATGATTGCCCAAAACTATAGGGTTACTACATTAGAATGAATTTATTATAAGTTTGTTGTTAGCTTTAAAATAAAATAATTTTATTTTTTTAGAGGTAAAAATAATTTTTTTGTAGTTCTTGAACAAAATTTTAAGAGTATGGATAGAATTATAAATAATAATTATAATTATTATAGGAAATTTTAGTTCTTATAGGAATTAATTAGTGTATATCTGTATGAAATTAATTTTTACTAAATAAAATTTTCATTTAATTCTTTCAAACAATAAATTAAATATATTTGAAGTAGAAAGTTTATGCTCATTACTATAGAACGAATTTCTGGGGTGATAATAGAATAATTGAGGGACTTAGCCTATGCTCACTACCCTACTTTTCATCTTGTTTATATTTATAAGCGCCAATTGCTCAACAAGTCATACTTCATGAATATATTAGTTTATCTATTTTTGAAACTTTAAAAAGTGTTCATGTTTGTTGTTTGATAAAAAATAATTATAAATCATTTTAATAAAATAAATAATGTTTAAACTAAATGATAAACGAGTGATTCAATTTTCAAATATACATATTTCATCTTATTAATAAATTTTCTGACTAATATAACAACTTATGAAATACGTTCAAATATTTTTCGATATTCTAATGTTATTTTTTATTTCTTTTATAATTTTTTGCGAGAATTTTTTAATTGTGCTCTACTTAGGTGAGACACAGTATTTTGAGTGGGCTGTAGGTTGTAATATTAATTAAAATAACACATAACTTGATGAATAATTACAATAATTTTATTCATCATGTATTTTCCTAATATATTTTTCAGAAAACCGTTGGTTTACTAAACATTACTTAAAATCATGTACTGAAAAATATATTTGGGTTTTGATTAACGTTTGATAGTTAAAACATTCTTGGTTTATTTTGTTTTACGGTTTGTAGTATTTAAACGTCTAAATTGGAATAATTTTCCTATTTGTGTCATTTTATTACTAGAGGTTTTAATCGGCTAGAGAAAGGGTAAAATTCTACTAACGCCTATGATTCCAATTGTTTTTTAGAGTGTATAACATATAATCATTACATTACGAAAACGGTTCAAATTATTTTTGGAGTTGTAGGAGACTAAGCCTTCTACAATAGATTGAATTTATTATAAGTTGTTAGCTTTAAAATAAAATAATTAAATTTTTTAAAGGTAACAATTATTTTGTGTATTTCTTAAACAAAATTTTAAGAGTATATACATAATTATAAATTATAATCATAATAATTATAGGAACTAATATTATTCAAGTTTTTATAGGAATTTAAAAAAAAAGTTTTTCATCTAACTCCTTTTATCAATAAACAAAATATAGTGAAAATGGAAAAGACTATCCTCACTACTATGGATTGGTTTCTAGGACGGTAGAAATAAAATTGCGAATCTTATCTCCCAAGCCTTCTCCATTGCTCTGCCTATGCTCACTACTCTGCTTTTATCTTGTTTATATCTATAAGCGCTGGTATCTCCAAAAATAATACTTGAAAAAAATTCGTCCTTGCTTTTCACGTACGGTATTTCGTTCGTTATGGTGAGTTGCGCGTTTAATTTTTTTATTATCGAAGAGAGAAACTGGTCGTTGTTTTGCCACTCTTGTTCTTCCCCCCCCCGTGATCGTTCGGTCATAGATCGTGTCGTTTGCCTCGGCAATGGAGTAGATATTATCGAGAGTGGCGGCGGTTGTGGGCGGACGAGACATTGGCGCACCTAACAAATTGTCATCCAGGGCGTCTTCGTCAACAGGGGGTCCGTCCGTTGGGTGACGTGACAACATGTCGGGCGCACCGTTGTGTTTGCCCGATACGCGTGTCGTGGTGAGATTTAGGTTTCCCAGGTGTAGCGCCCAGCGGGTCAACTTACTGTTTGTGTCCTTCGCTTTGTGCAGATAAGTCAGCGCTGAATTATCTGTGTATAACTCGATAGGGGCTTACTCCAAGTATGACTTAAAATTATCGGTTGCCCATATGATCGCTAGACATTCGCGCTCGACAGCGGTATAACGTTTTTGCGTATCCGACAGCTTTTTACTCGCGTAAGCTACAATATCCTTTTCCCCCGGTTTTTGTCCGTGTTGAAATAATAGCGCACCTACGTCAAGTTCACTAGCGTCGGTTTGTAGGCAGAATGTTTTGTGTAGTCGGTGGAAGAGAGGCGTGATGAGTCGCATAACGCCGATTTGATATGCTCGAAAGCGTGTTGTTGTGATTGTGTCGAACCACTTTTCCCCTTTATTTAATAGGTGGGTGAGAGGGTCGATGCTGTCAGCGTAATTATCGACAAACTGACTATACCAGTTGCATACTCCTAAAAATTTTCGTATATCTCTTACATTGCGTGGGACTGGAATATCGCGTATGGACTGTAATTTTTCCGGCCCTTTGTCTATGCCTAACCAATGCACCCGGTGTCCCAAAAAAGAAATTTCAGAATACCCGATCTTACACTTTTTAGTGTGGCATGTTAGGCCATGACGCATTAGGCGTTCTAGAACCTTGCTAAGGTGGTCTAGATGTGTTTCGACACTGTCCGAAAAAATTAAAATATCGTCCAGATAGACTTGAACGAAGTCATCGATGTACGCCCTAAGTTCTTCGTTCATTAAGCGTACGAAGGTCATTCTTAAGTCCGAATGGAAGTACACGAAACTGGAATAAGCCCTTTTTTGTTCTTAATGCGGTGTATTCGCGTACGTTTTGCTGTAAAGAGCATTGCCAGTAACCCGATTTTAAATCGAGTGACGTGAAAACTTTCGCTCCCCTCATGCTTCTAATCATTTCGTTTAAATTAGGCATAGGATACGCGTCTGATACGGTCACATCGTTAAGTCGCCTATAGTCGACACATAAGCGATATGAGCCATCTTTTTTCTTGGCCAGCACGACTGGTGTTTGTTGCGAGGACGATATAGCAGCCACGTACGGATTAGCGTTATTGATAAGTGTACCCGTACGTATCGGTTGGTCGAGATCGTTCGCGATTGCGC